GTATAGTGATAACGAAGAAATGATTCATAATAGCAAAATGTGTAGCTTTTAGATCCATGGTTTAACCGCAAAATCTTGATTAGCTCAACTGGGTTGAACATGATCATTTATCACATTGTGATCATCACATACGATCACATTGCGCCCTAACTTTATTGTAATATATAGTAATTTCAAATGTGTGTCCGTAATTTTAATGATATTTACTCACAAATCGTAGTATACTATTCAATTTCTCCTGTTTATTATCTACCTTCAGAAGAAACTTTGTATAATGATTCCACGTGTATCACATCAGAATGTGTATTGTTCAACATCACATATCATTATCAAAGGTACTTAAGGTGTAGCAGATCATTCTGCACATATTTTAAAGGGTATTTAAACAAGTGTATAGAAGTACATTCCACCATAAACTACAAACAGTATATTGCTTTAGGAAAGTTATTCACTGCATTGAAGTATACATTTGTAACAATATTATTTCGGGAGCTTTTGTAGGTATTTCATTACTCCATTCATTAGGCTAGTAATTATTTATTTTTAGTAATGTTTGGTATTTACTTTTGATTATTTTGTTAGTAGTTCAATTTACAATATATAAAGTAATAATATTGATTTCAGCACCAGTATCTAGTCTATATCTAGGGCTTGAGACATTTATTAGATTAGGGCATTTCCAACCAATAGATCATGTTACGGACCTCCCTAGAAAAATAATAATAGTTATAATAGTAAACAATTGATTTATAGTGAGTATAAATATGTATTTGAGGCTTAGTTTATTTTCCAAACCAATGCTGCATACAATTATCTTTAAAAGCAATACCACATGCAAGTTCATCAATATGAATTCTTTTGAAATTACATCAGAGATTTAAAGATAAATTAAAAGATTTAATGGAAGATTTTATTGAAGAAGTAAATGAAACAGAATAATGGGTATCTAATGTTATAATTGAAAAATCTGAGAAGTCATTAAGAATATGAATTGATCCACAGCATTTAAATATGTTTATTATCAGAGAAAGGTGATGAAATTTACCCATGTTTGGCAAATAAAACCTATTTTACAGTTCTTGATAAAAATATGGCTTTTATCATATCAAATAAGATCCTCAATCATCTAAATTTTGCATTTTTTGCACTTTAGTACAAAAAGATTTCTAGAGAGCCTCATTTGGCTTAGCAAATGTGCCAGAACTGTTTCATGGGAGTGTTAGTAGTTATTTTGAAGATGTACCCAAGGTTTCTGGATATTTTGATGATATTTGTATAGCTACAGATACAAAAAAATGGACCAATTTTGAGATAAGTATTAGAGCGTGCTAGAAAGTTAAATATACATTTTAATTTCAATAAATTTCTATATTTTTGTAGTAAAAACAAAAATTTAGATGTAGAGTTTGCTCAAGCGGAAATGAGATCTGATCGAGAAAAAAGTTCAAATTATTAATGTCTTAGAGAATTCAACAAATAAAACAGAATTACAAAGATTATTAGGTATGGTAAATTTTATTTGAGTCTTTATTCCTAATTTATCTCATGATATTGTAACGCTACAAACTGCTAGTAATTTCCATAATTAATAAACCTATTTATAAAATTCAGACAATATACTGAGATGTTTAAAATTAAAGTTGATGCCATATAGTTTTAGAGATCGTAGAGAAGAACAGTATCGGTTTGAAATTCAAAAGTTGAGAAATTTGATAAATCTATGCTTGAATAGCATTCATGAATAGCAGCTATTCCTACTGATACATGAAAAAGCAGTAGGAATAGCTAAAAAGATTATTACAATTTCTTTAAAATTTAAACAAGATTTTAATTTAAGTTTATTAATTTATCGTAATACTGCAGTGGCTTGGTGAAGTTACTCTCCAGCTCAATTATTAATGGGGAGAGTATTAATATTTAAAATTCCTATTCATTCTAACAAATTATTATCTAATTAAACCACTTCATGTTAAACAACATGTAAGTGACAAAAGGGCACACCGAAAATAATGAAATGACAAAAATTGTTCTAAAGCTGAAAATAAATTTAAACATGGACAAAAAATATTCCTACAAAATAGTAAAACAAAATATTGGAAGCCTGGGATTGTGTTAAACATTGTGGGAGCCCGCAAATCTTACTTAACAAAAACCAAAAGTGGCAAAATCTTCAGGAAAAAATTCATATTTTTAAGAGATGGAACAAATAACTTAACTAGTTGTTCTACAGAATGGCACAGACTTTCCCGTATTAGTTTTCTAATTCCTTTGGTCTCGGCTAGCTGTTCGGACTTGCGAAATACCCTTCCACCTGCCTAATATCGCCGCGCAAAGTATTTTTTTATTTTACTTTTTTATTTTTCTGTTTGCTAATAGTAGAACGGAAATATTATTTTAAGAATATTAAAGAACAATAAAACCTAGTCCTTATTGGCAATTTTCTTTGAAAAATATAGAGCTCTTTTTAAGAAAATGTCGTTTAAAAGATACGTAAATTGGAAATTTGTACTTCTCTTCACAGCAAACTATTGAGTTTTCAAAAAACTTTATATAAAGACAATTCAAGCACTTCTAGTCCCAAATGCAATAGTGGTTACAATCGCTTGCAATATGCATATTGAAGGCGCAAAAGACATTATTATTGCACATGTGTAATTTTAAAAAAAAATACTAAATTAATTCTGTGTAATCTTAAACAGTGAAATTCATTGGTATCCATGAATTAGCATTATCGATTGGAAAAGTTTGAAGAAATAAATTGGAGCCATTTATGTGAAAATGTCGTTAGAGCGTTTTTGAAAATGCGGAATTTTGAATCAGTTTTCACACAATAAGGCTGAGTTTTCGAGAAACCTTATAAAACATTATTTAATGTTCATGTAGTCATAAATATAATAATGTGAACAAATCGCCGCTAATGTAAATATAACGACGTGAAAGACAATTAAAAAATACATTTTTGTATTGTTGAAAAAACAAAAGAATAGAGCAACATGACAAGTTTATCTCATAGAATACATTGAGCACTATCCATACCAAACGTTTAAGGGATATTTTGAGAGCTGTTTTTGAAAAAATTGTGTTTCTTGTTATTTTTTAAAATTGCGCATAATGCACGCAATATTGCGCGAAAACTACTAAAATTTTCAAAAAATATACAGGACTTCAATGAAAGAACTCACTATGGAGAACAAATATTATTTGAAGGAAAAATTTCTATCTTCAATTTTGTAGTTGTAGGCAAACGCGGGAAATAATGAAAACTTTTGAAATTTTTGCAACGAGTTACCCGTGAAAATCTGAATTGAGCCACCTTTATTAGTTTAATTTACTATATTCTTGCAAGACATTTAAAGAAAAGATTTGTAGCAGTTTTTGAGTCCGTGTCCGTGGAGCTTCATGTAAAATACTCCCAAAAATTAATGAATGTTTTTAAAAATCGCAGAGCTTTGACTCAGGTAATATTGACAGGGGTTTATACAGTTTGGAAAGAATCGTACGCCTAGCTTAGACGCTAGTGTTCACATGCACCAGACTGACGGACAGATGGACGGACGTTTAGTCGTCAGTCTATTTTTTGTTATCAAGGACCCACAAACAGGGATTCTAGTTACACCACGTGTTAGAGAATTTTTTCCCTTAATTGAGCAACTTGATTCATAATTTTTTTCGCTATCAGGGCCCGGTAATGAATTTTTTTCTGCCGCCTATCTGCGATTTTTTGTGCAGCATTACATAACTTTCCCTATACCACTTATGTTACTCCGTATATACGTATGAATATGGGGATGGAAAAATGGAAGATGTTTAGTATTTGTTTTATTATGTTGTTAGTAACCAGGTTCTTGTTAGCATTACAAATGTTGTAATTGTATTCGAAGTTTGAAATGCAAGACGCTATTCAGTGAGGGTGATTTCATTCAATATTAATGAAATAAAACAATTGTTGCATGTTGTTTTAGTTTCGCCGCAATAGTTGTTATTTGAAAAACGTGTGGTATATTGGCGCAGCGATAGTTCTCGTATCGGAGTACGGGAGTACGGGAGTACGCACGGGAGTTGGGTCAGTGTTTCAGTGAACAAGTGAGCCCTCAACTGCCCGGGCGACGCGGCCCGAATCTTCGGCGAACAATAAAATAATCTTAGAATCCCCCAATATCCTGCCTCCCTTTCCCCATTTGTACGACTTTGCAAAGGGTTAATGAATCCAAAAAGCAGAAGACACATCACCTTCACCTATTCACACGTAGCATTTTATCCACAGAGATTCCAAAATCTATGAGTTACACAGCATTCTCATCAACATTCTGAACCAGAGTTGTCCTAGGCGTCCCGCGGTGCCATTTATTGTAGCTCGAAAAAGCTCATTAGTGAAAAGTGAAAGTCCCTTGTATCCATGTCTGACGAGAACATCGCGCCTAACTCACGGCGCCCTGCCGGGCTCAACACTCTCTTAATGTAAGAAATAGGTTAAGTTTAGATTTAATTATTTTTCTATAAGATTCAGAATTTCAAAATCATTCCAATCTGTTTCAGTGCGGTATGCATGATAGAAACTGATACCGCGCATGATTCCAGACCCTCCCCCTTTCAGAGCAGCCTGACAAAATGCCGGGACCAACAATACGAAGAAGTCAGTAAATTAGAATCGCCGAAACATGGAAATATGGCCCGCAACCATATAAGGTTATAGTTGTGGACCTTTAGGTCTTCCAAGTTGGACACACCCGTTCAAAATCCTTATTTAATGCAGAATAAGAAAAGGTAAATATTCCATAAATAAATTATTTCTACATTTTTGAGAAAACTCGATTTTCAATAATCGTCACAAGAAATCTTCATCCATGAATACCTTAAATTTTTTGTGGATTCGATATCAAAATAAAGAAGTGGACTTCCGTTTCCGTTTGGTTACAAACTACTTTCAGATTTATTTCGATATTAATTACCACTATCTCACCCAGTAAGATGAGATACTTTTAAAAAATAATAGCACTTACCGAAAGCTTTGCAGACAGCAATATCTTCCAGCAAGGCGACCAAAGGCACAACGACAATTCCAGAGCCGAGGTTACCCAACATACTGAAGAAGCCAATTGCTTCTATTGGAGGTTCCGCCGTGTCGTTTCCAGAGATTGAGAAATCGGGCGCCTTAAATGCAGGGAGTCCAGACGGCACGTTTCCTATAAGAGACAATAGGTGAATCTCGCTCAACTCAGAAACAATAACAAGAACAAAAAAAACAAAAGATGTACTCATGAAAATGTAAACCGATAACCTAGATTCTGAAATAAAATTCTTAATCAAAAACTTTCAAGGAAAAGGATCATCATATCGTGTCTTAAGTTTTTAAAATTGTAATAATTGTTTCAATACTTAATTATTTAATACTTAATAATTTTTATTCTGTTTATTAAAATCCAACACTATGAAACATATCATATCAAGGCAAAACTTGAATCCATTTAGACTTAAGCTAGGAATTAATGTTTGTTGTACTATTCAGGCACTGGCCATGCCAGTACCCATTATGTGGTTGCTATTCGTATAAGTTTGCCCAATACGTGCCAGATGGCATTAGTTTCATGGAATAAAATTGTTAAAAAATATTTGATATTTTTGGTAAATTTTTTTATTGTTAAGTGTAGAATTTTCTTGTCTTTAAGTGTGTGTGCGTGTGTGTTTATAATTGTTTATGCGGGCTTCTATCTTAGCTCATGAGGTTATCATTTCCTCTTGTAGATTTATCGATTTGAATAATAAATGACTATTTTTTTACAATAATATACGTCTATCTCAATTCCACATGTTTATTTATTTTTCACACTCGATAGCTTAAGACGCATCTACAGACATCGTATACTTCGATTAAAAACATTAAGTCCGTTGATTCTTGGTCAGCTGCAACGCTGCTCCATCCGGATCTTGAATGTCATTAAAGAGAAGCATATGTAGGCGAGTGACTGCTGGAGAGGTCACTATTGCGCTGCTTACCGATGACGATGACGGCGTCCGGGTGGGAATGGTGGAGCCAATGGCCCACGAGGCCGCACGCGAGCAGGAGAATTGCGTTGCGTGCGGTCCCCACCAGCCACAGCACTCGCGTCGCCCACAGCTGAAGCGGCGAGCGCAGCGCCACATTCTGCGGCCCGAACTGCACCTTGGCCAGCAGCTGCGCACACCACCGCACCTCTCGCACATTCGCACGCAGTCAGTGGCAAACGAGATGAGAAGAAGGGGAAGGGAAAAACAAGAAATGAAACGAGTAAAAAACGAAACGGAAAGAGGAAAATAATTCAATAAAACAACAAGAAGAAAATAGAAAAAGTAAATAATAAGTAACAACAACGCGCGAGACCGGCTCCTGGAGTGCGGTTTGTGCGTGGGTGTGTAGCTTAAGGGCCAGAGCCAGCAAGGTGAACTCACGCGCATGAGCAACAGCACGACAATGCAGACGCAGCCCAGGGAGGCGTCGCCGACGCTTGTCTCGCCCAAGTTCTTGAAGATGGAGATGCACACTTCCACGAAGGTACCGCTGTCTGCCTTGATGCCCAGCAGATCCTTCACTTGCGAGCTCACGATGATCAGCGCTGCCGCCGATGTGAAGCCCGACGACACCGGACCCGATATGAAGTCGATCACGAAGCCTGCATCCAGACAAGTATTAGTCGGAGTCACCTTTTATAAATCTTGAATGTCATGATTGTCTCTCATAAACAGTTCTTCATCAAAAATAACACCTAAAATATTTCTACATAAAAACAAAAATGAGTAAGTCTGCTAAATTTCAAAGCGTGCGTTCAGTTCAATTTATCAACAATGTAACAAAAACTCCTTTTAGAGTTACATTGTGGATTCATGCCTCCCTTCCACCTTTCATCACAGACATGTACGTTGTCACTCCAACTTTCTAAATCATGTTACAACCACAAAAATCGTTTTTTGCATGTAATTATATTTTTTTATTATTTACCACGTTTACCTTGGAAATGTAATGGGAGAAATTACCACCTGATTGCCCACACCCAAATTAACTGCTATAGAGCGCCATTTTAATCCTTGCTGTATTTATTTTGCTTTTAATTTAATGTACTTACCAAGACCTAAAATGCCCATTAGAACTTGAACAATGCCCACAAGAAAACAAAGTAGTACAGCGTATTGAGGCCTCAGTGCATCGTATGAAGTCGCGCTATTGACCGCTTGAGCTGTCAGTAAGGAGATGATAGCAGATGGACCCATTGGAACGTCTTTGCAGCTCCCGAAGATGATATAAACGAAGCAGCCGAAGAAGGAACTGTACAGACCATACTGAAACAATTATATTGTCTTCATAGTTTCTGCGTAAAGTCGACAGTATTAAATTAGACTTCACAAAAGCACCAACTCCACACAATAAACATGAGTTTGCAGTTTCCAGAATCAAAATAGTTTTGTGTAACTTTTAATTATTTTTCTATCAATAAGATTATTTCTTTGCTGAAATCGTGCCAAAAATAGCCTAAAATAAAACGTTGCTAGAAGCCAACTGTTACACTGCTGATAATTAAAATTTTTGAACAATGTTATTCACACCATTTACAACAATACTATCCGCTCTTTCTATGAACATTTCCTTTTTGGCCTTGACCATCCTCTTCCAGTGTGTCATGACCCTGGGACCACTTAGTCATTTTTCGGTAAAAGTATTGTAAGGTTGAGAACATGGTCAAGCAATATATTTATTACACCAACACACTAAGATTTTCCTACTATCATACATCTACGTCATTGCTTTTTCATGCAGAAAGATCACATGTGTAATTTGCACCACAAAACTTAATTTAGAAACTATCCAAATTTGTTTCATTGTCCTCGTAGATCACAAACCATCATGTCATCATGGTATAAATTCAGTTAGTGTAGTTTTCAAAACTTTTCAATATTAGGGGACTCACTTTCGAGTAATGTATGCGTTACGGCTAATGTCCGAATCGTTCTAGTTAGCAGACCAGCCCTTTAATGTTTACATCATCCAAATGGATGGATAAAATCGAAAGTAGGAACAGCTTTGAACCTGATATTTCGAACGGATGTGGGTGAAGTGCACATTAGACAATGCTAGGGAATGTGAGGAACGTTACGAGTCGTACAATGTCGAAGAATATCAAACGCTGTGTGATAAACAGAAATCGGACACTTTGTGTGAATTTTCTAAAGTTAGAGATAAGGTATGTAGTTTCAAGTTACACTGATACAGCCAAAAAATTTGATAATATATTACTCTCTAGGGTGAGTATGCATCCCGTATTTTACGGAACTGTCCCTTATTTCAATGGTGCGTCCCGATAAAATTGTTCGGAACGCTGAATTGTTCCATATTTTGTAAATTTTTGGCTATCGATAGCTTCATATTTTGTTGTTTTGTTATTTATAGAGTACAGCAATATTATGAGATGTATTATATTTACAAGAGTACCGCTATATTTGTAGATGATTCTATTTCTAATGAAAAATAACTATTTTATATTTAGCTGTCTGAAGTAGACTAACAAACAACCGAATATGATTAAATTTCTTATTCTTTATCGTAGTTTTCGAAGAACTAACAGTTTTCATAAAAATGTTTTTTCGCATAGGTAAGGCTGTCTTTCTTTTGGCGGACATGGTCGTAACAAAGAGGTAGTTACTTGATGTTACAGAAATGTTTCACGAAACGAATTTTATTAGTTAAAGTGAGAAAAGTCAGAGATGCCTTCAAAATGCCGAAGAGGAAGTGTATTCTCATAGAAAAGCTGACTGACTTTATATTACCTAATCATTCTTCACTAGAAACAATACATTCATATGAGAAGTGTATGATAGACAGAGAAGATCAATGGTTTATTGTTTAAGTTGCATTTTAAAGTCTCTATAATAAATGCAAAAGTTCCGCTTTCGCCGATAATTTTAAGTACGAAAAGCATAAAGAATTTGTTATTTTAATTTTGTGTCCCTTATATTTCGACCTGCATGCACCACACCGTGTCGCAAGAACGGATCTCTTCACTTTGACAAGGTGCAGCTGAGCAGACAAGACGTTCCCGTCGGCAGTATAAATATGGAGCGGAGCCAAATATGTTCCAAGCTGCCTATAAATTACTTCCAAAAAAGCCCTTTACAAGACGTAATTATCTTTATTATAATGCTATTCATAATTATTAATAATTCTTGAAATTCTATGACGATATTTTCAAGTTTTCGTATGTGAAAGGTGTTTTCGCACGTGTTGAAGGATCTTCCGGAAATGAATGACACACCATCACTTTCCTTAGTGTTTTTATTGTAGTTTTCACAAACATTGCACAATCCTCATGAATGCGGAATATAATAAAATTAGTTCCTTAAGCTAAAGTAACCGCAACTAGTAAAAACCAATTACAAACACATACACCAAAACACCATCTTTTTCACTGACATTCTTAAAAACTTGTGTGATGCATAATTTTAATCCCAAAAATGTTATTTTCGGCAAAACTAATACTTTACAAAACGCGACTAAATTGCAAATAACAAACACGCCAGTTTTCACGTGACAAGTTACGTAAACTTTCTCGACTGTGTCGTCAGGCGCAGGACGACCAAAATGTATTCCATTGCGCAGCCAAATGAGCCCCCCCCTGGCATATTTCAATTTATTTGTATGACAAATTGTTCTCGCAAATTCACAAGGGGCCTCACACTCGGACAATTACCTTTATTTAGCCAGTGCTCATTCCTGATGCCTACATTAGCCAATAGTCCGAATTCATACGTTCATATTCATTCAGTTTTATTCAAACCGTCTGGCTAAAATGCGATTTAATTGTATTTTCCAATTACTCATATTTCAGAACTGGGCGTTATATATAGATTACGTGACCTTTCCCCCAAAATGTCCGTGCTCATCACATAAGCAGCACGCGAGGGGCATGGGTGCGTACCTGCGGCGGAAGGCCGGCGATGCTGGCGTAGGCGAGCGCCTGCGGGATGACGGTGAGGCCGACAGTGATGCCGGCGACGAGGTCCCCGACGGCGTCATCACCCGTGTAACGCGGCAGCCACGACAGCACGGGCAGGCGGCGCAACAGCTGCTTGCGCGTGAAGGCGCCGCGCGCGCGCCGCCGCACCCACGAGCCACACCGCCCGGCGCCGCCGCCCCCGCCCCCCACCGGTCCATCCGCCCCGCCTCCGCCGCCATCGCCGCCGCCGCCGCCGCCGCCGCCGCCAACCGACTCCATGGAGCTGCCCACGCCCTCCTCCATCTCCAGCACTTCCAGAGGCACTGCGCACAACGGACAGCTGACACAACTCATCAACAAATTGCAACCAAAAAAAATATTAATAGCAATTTACTTACAGCTCACACAACTCATCAACAAATTGCAACAAAAAAATACTTTACACACTTTTCATTATCAAAAGTCGAACTTGAAGGTTCTGAGATTAGGTTCGTAAAAATAATTATTAAAACACAAGTATCCTAATACATGGCAATAGCGTTAGGCAACATAGATTTAGGGAATCCTAGATTTCAAGCTAGAACAAACAAAATAATGTAATTTTACGTGCAAAATAGATTATCACGACTGTCGACATCTGTCTGTCACCTTTAGCAGGATGAGTAGCAATATTTTAAATAAAATTAGAGCTTACTGCAATTTTTACAAAGGTGACAAAGCATTGTACGATTTTCGCAACGTAAACTACAAACTTTACTATACAAATATTAAAATACTCGAAAATACTAAAAATTAAAATACTTGGTTATTTTTATGATCTGATTGTCTCGATTGATTATTATTCAACTTCACATTATAATAAAATGTCTAACGATCGTGCCTTTTTGTACCTTATGTTAAATGGTAGTCATACTGAAAAAATCTCTCGCTAACATTGCAGCATTACACGATGTACTTTCAGTAAATAATGTTCTCAATAAATATTCCTAAACTCTTGATTTAATTCTAATATATCAAATTGTTTAGATATTTCTAAATGCGTGGAATCCATTTGAAAAGAAGACAAAAATAATTTGGATACCCCGATGAAACAAATGATTTTTTATATTATATTTTGAACTGTTTCTTTGATAAATATGTTTCAAAGAAAAAAATTAACAGCAAAAAATATTATCCCCCTTGGTTTACAAAAAATATCATACTTAATTTAAAACTTACAGCTTATTGTAGCAATAAATCAAATTCTCTTCCCATTATCAACATAATTATAAAGAATTAAGAAGGATAACGAAGTCAATTATCAATGTCGCTTATCTAAAATATATTAGAAATTTGTTGAATTGTTTCGTCCGTAATCGTAAGTTATTTTAGAATTATATTAAATTAAAAAGATTAAAAATTATCTTAGATCTTATGTTATGACTTTTAAAAATATTCCATTAAATAGGGATGACGGTATTGCTAATAGCTTCGCCAATTTTTTCAAATCAAGTTTGTTTTCATGATGCAATCAATGACCATATTCTTGATTCTTCTCTTTTGGGCGTTTCTAACACATTTAAAATAAACAATGTCACATATGATAAAATTGTAATTGTTATAAAAAAAACTAAAACCTAAAATCTTTAGAGGTTCTTACGGTTTACCACCGTTTACATTAAAAGGCTGCTATGATGCTTTATCGTATCCTTTACACATTATTTATAATCGTATTTTAAAAACAGGAAAATTTACTAAGAAATGGAACCTTATTACTGTGTGCCCGTTCTGATACTATTATAAATATCGAAAATTATAGACAGATTGCTATAAATTCTAAAGAATCAAAGACACCGCGACTTTTCATAAAAACATGTGCGAAGGGTAGACCGTTTGAACCTCCCATAAAATTGCATACCAGTGATTTGTAACTCGCATTTGCGCGGCGGCCAGACGGTTCTTAAAAATGAATATTTTCAAAGATCACCGTGTATTCCGCTAGACCACAGCTGCGTCGATTTCCACTGATCGTGAGAACAAAAAGGTGTATCCGCGCCCCCACGTATGAGCCGCGTTAAACCGTCGCACCGAAAATGCAACGGAAATTTCTTTGCCGTACGAGCAAACGTACCATTGGTCCGCCCCATTGCCCCATTGCCAACGCACCATTGGCCCATATCGCCCCGCCACATCTCCCAATAGCTGCAATTTAGGCAATCAGTGTGAAGCACTCTAGTCAGATGAGGGGATTGAAGCATTCTTTCTGTCGCGTGTGAGGCTCCAAATTCATACGGTTTCTACCGGAGACGTAATTGGTTTCTGTCTCAAGCTCTGACTTGCAATGACTTATTTTCGCATTTCGCGCATGCGCCTCGAACTCGTCATGTTACTTTCAAATTTACATCTCACAGAGGGACTTGTAATGTATTGCGTTCTAGCTTGATTTCACGATAAATTGCAGTACTGATCCGCACTAGCATGCACTTGCAGTTTCTTTTCGGCACTAGAATCGTGCTTAGAACTCATGAGCTCATCTTAACTTATGCTTCAACCGGTACTTTGAGTGCAGTGCCGCATGGTTCGGGAATCGAACTCAGCTGATCGCCACATCAACGAGAGCTCGTGCTTCGTCATGCCATGTGGGTGAACGGGAGAGGGGCGTCGATCCGTGTCGTTGGATGCTGTTATGTGGCCGAGTGTAGGACCGCCTCCACCGCCGCCCGCGGCGTCGCGCCCAACCGTTCAAGAAGAAACCCAACAGACACTCCTTGTCATCTCAAGTTTCTCGCTCAAAGGCGGAGAGACTGCTCAACGAAGGAAGCTAATAAATTAGATGCCACCAATACGTCATTTTATTTGTAGTGGCAAAATTAATTGTTGTTTGTTTTTGTTGTAATCACTCGTAGTAAACTAATAAAACGCAATAATTAAAATCATAAGTTGTAGTAATTTTGTAAATTCATTTATTTGAATACTCAGCATTATCATTTTAAATTTTAATTAAATGTGCTGTGAAATTAATTCTGTATGTGTTTTTATCGAACCATCCTGCATCCAAAGAACAGTCCGGCCAGTACCGGTACGTTACTATATATATATATAAATATAAAATATATATAAATATATATATAAATATATATATATATATATATAAATATATATATATATAAATATATATATATATAAATATATATAGTAACAATATATACATATATATATATATTTATATATATTCAAACTGATATTTTGATTTTTGAGTTTTTTTACATGAAGCGGGCATTTATATTTTTATGTCTCTGCCCGAATTTGATCCATACGACGCTTCTGAAGTGGGGTATGAGTGTATGAAGTATACTCAGAAGAATGGAGTTCCAGTCTCGGAGCGGAAAAAAATTGCTGGTAGAAAATATTTTTGCAAGTTTATGTAATAGTATAGTATAGTGGAGCAGTTAGAAATAATGCAAGCATGAGCTTTTGTACGAATAGCATCACTAGTTTAATTTGGAAAGGATGTTTTTGAAGGAGTAATGTAGAAATGAGTAATATTTGTCTAATTCTTATAACCTGGTAGATTATCAAGTTCATAAAAAGGATGAATAATCATGAATGTTTACAGATTAACATTTCCGATACCTACTTGAAGTAGCTGATATCTTTCACTAATGTGCCAGGAGTAGCGTACTGATTATCATTTCGAAGCTGAAAATAGATTCACTGTATCGCCATATGGTTGAACGATATTTTCATGTTGAAATTGTCGAGTCATTTCCTTAGGGCAACATGTTTTAGAACGCGGTAGTGTCCAATCACGGGCGGATGATAAGATACATGATAAGGCTATGAAGAGATGTGCAATTTAATAATGAAAGACCTGGGGATTTACGAAGTGCGAGTTCGAATATCGTACACACTGGAGTGTTAACATCAACTGTTCTGTAACGTTATTTTTATTGCTTTCAGTCAGATGGACCCGCGGTGAAATTCCACACGTTGTAAATCATTACTTTAAAAATGAAAATAGTTATATTCTGGGTCCTAACTTTGAACACTCAGACTCTGAACTGTGCATTACTATCTCTTACATAGAAGGTAGGATTCATGGATATTTTTTTTTTCGTTTTCCTTACGACGCAACTTGTCTCATAACACTTATTGTGCGTTGAGCTCTTATTATGAAGTAATTCTCCGTAACTTTATGGTTTACTGGGAGAAACATCGAAATTTCGAAAATTAGCTCTTGACAACTTTGAGCATATTTTGTCTAACTCCTTAGATATTCTAAATGACTGATCCACAAAAACCCTGAAAAGTCGGTTTGACGAAATATTTCCTAGGCTAAACCTTTCATTGCAGAAGCATATAAACACTGCATGAACATGTAAATTGTTTATTAATTACGAAACAAATTCATTTTTTGTATTCTGAAAGAAAAATTAATAAAGCACCAAATTTACACAATTCGACTGCTTTTACTTTCCCTATACATCCATACATACGTTGTATAGGGAACGTTATGTGCTGATGAAGAAAATCGATTTCGAGATTTCAAAGAAAATAATGCGTACTCTGACATCTAAGAAGTTTTTTTTTGTCAAAACTTCCCTCTGTCCATCCGTCTGTCTGTCTCTGAAAACTACTAGCACCTAAAAGAAACGTAGGGTTTTTTTGTAAATTGAAGAAACTCCTGTCTAACTTGTTCGAGTCGAAACTGAAATTTTGAAAAAAAAACATTCTACAATCTTCGGGGATACTTTACGCTCTCCGGACATTTTCAATTTGTTTTCAAAAGCAGCTCAAATTTTTTTCTTTAATTTCTTGTAAACATACAGCAAAATACTCTTTATAAAGATGGCATAATTCCAATTTTCAGGTTTAACTTGGAATTTTCAAGAACTTTAAAATTTGGGCGTCTTCGCACAACAACAAAATTGAAGATTTTGAGAGAATTTGAAATATATTCTTCAAATAAAATGTGTTCTCTATAGTGAGTTCTTTCATTATGGTCATTGTACATTTTTTTTTAAAAAAATAGTAATTTTCGCGCGATATTGCGTGAAAAATGTGCAACTTTTAGAAATTATAGAAACAATATTTTTTCAAAACGGCTCTACTTTTTTCTTTAAAATTTATTGTAACGATAGTGCTAAATATATTCTTTAAGATGACATAAACCAATATTGCTCTTTTCTTTTGTTTTTTCAAAAATTACAAAACTGTAATTTTTTTGACTTGCCACTCATGCCGTTTATATTTATATTTTGTTCACATTATTGTATTTATGCGTACATGTGCTTTAAATAATGCCAGAAAAAGTTTCTTGAAAT